GCAACTCCTTTTCCATTTTTACCCTTGTCTGCGTTGCCACCTGTCGGTGACCCCTTTAGCATATAAAAGAAGGCCCATGCGCAACGTAGAGGAGGTTCGGTTGGAAGCCAGAAAAACACTCACGCTCGGTCTCGTTAGCAGCTAGAGTGTACTGTAGCACTCAGCGCTCCCGAGCAAGAACTCAATACAATCAGACAAGCAGCAGTAGGAGTATTATCTCTCCGGAGAGCTCCGAAGCTGGGTAAACTGCTCGTGTGCTTCGCCTCGATCCGCTCTTCGTGCGGCCTCCGCCCCCCGCCGAACCGAAAGGGGCTCAGTCCGCCGGTCCCCATAGGTGTTCGTGGATCAGCTTTCCCGACACGAGGATGACAACTTTAATTGTCAAGCATGATAACTTTCTTTTCAGATAACAAGTTTCAGTTTTTTTTTGGGGGGGGGTTTTTTTTTTTTTTTTAAGACAATTTTAGTTGTAAAAAACGTCAGGGCCGAATTGCTTCGTGCCACACGTGTGGCACTTATCATTTTTTTACGAACAAAGAATGTTTATTGACTTCCAACCAAAGAGCACCGGAGTGTGGCTTGAGCCTTGAGGTACTCCGTACTTGCAAGGTACTACTCCCTCCGTTCCTAAATATTTGTCTTTCTAGAGATTTCAACAAGTGACTACATACGAAGCAAAATGAGTGAATCTACATTCTAAAATATGTCTATGTACATCCGTATGTGATAGTTCATTTGAAATCTCCAAAAAGACAAATATTTAGAAACGGAGGGAGTAGCATGCTATACCGTCGCCCAGGCAGGCTGGCAAACATGACAATGCAGGAGCTCATGCACTTGCATGTACCTAGCATTTCTTGTAAGGTCCAGTCGAATTCAAGCATGTCGTCTCCTTTTGCAGTACATATATGCCGCTGTTGTGTCTTGTGTTTAGAACATAGGCAAAGACCTTGTTTTCTTTTTCTTTTGCAGAATCCGGTCATTACTTCTTTAGTGAAAGAAAATCATGGAAAATGAAAAAGGACAACATGCAGCGCGAAAGACTAGTATAGACTATGTATACAATATAATCGGAAAAAGGATGGTGTATGTTTTCCTAGAAATATCACTTTTCTAATACTTGAAAATGATGGTCTTCTCGAAATAAGTCTTTTTCTAGTGTGTTTGCGATGTTTTTTCCTTTAAGAATTCTGTGAGAAAAATTGATGTGAAGTTGGGCTGCAAGTTGAATAGGTACCCATGAGCCTGTCTTCAGGCCTATATAATCCAACCTGTGCACCAGAAGAAAAACAAATGTTATATGAGGAGCCCAATACTCCGAGGGCCCAACTAAACCATCACATGGCAAATCCCGGAGTTGGAAATCAATAAAGAGCAACTCGACCCAAACGGACGGCGCTTTTGTCCGCTTTTTGTCCGTTTGTGTCGGCCGCCCGCCCGTCGTCCGCCTTCTTTTAGATTTGTATCGGCATCGCGCCCAACGCGCCGACCCATTTCATGACCGCGCGCGCTTTGGATCATGCCAGCGGCCATGCCAACGCGCGGGAAAGGTTCGCGCGCGGGGGGTAATTCGGCCTAGTGCGCGCTGGCTTCAGCGCTCCAGAGCGCGGGAAATGTTCGCGCGCGCATTTTGGCACGCCCCGGCCGGCGCTCGTTATAAAGACGGCGCTCCCTCCACACTCAGTCCGCCACCGCCGCCCACTCGTCTCGCCCCCTCTCACTGGCCTCGCCGCCTGTGCGCCACCATGTCGACGCGCATCCTCGACGCTTCGGATTTTTGCGGAGTCCGCGAGCGCCCCTCCGTCGCCTTCTCCGTCGAGATCTTGTTTGGCGAGAAACGGCTCGTCCTCGGCACCTTCGACACCACTGAGCAGGCGGCCCGCGCGTACGACGCAGTGGCGTGGCGCCTCCGACGGCCGAGACGGGAGATGAATTTTCCCGACGTGTCGAGCCAGCGGGCGCAGGATCTGGCGCCTCTCCCGCGGCTTTTCACCGACGAGGATCGTCGCGTCCACCGGAGGCGGATGCATCGCCTCGCCCTCGCCGAGATGGACTTGCAAGCCTTGGTGCTGTGGCGCAAATGTTTCCCGCAGGACATCGTCGACGAACGTCAGTTCTATGAGCAGAGGAGGATGGAGAGGAAGGCCAGGAGGACGGAGCGAGCCGGCTATCGGGAGGGCAAGCGTACGCGGAAGCTGACCGCTCAAATGAGACTGAGGCTGCGAGAAACATCGGGGTGGGACTTCGCGGACGAGCATGCTGCTGACGACTATATTCAGACATCGGAGGAGGACATTACCGAGTCAGAGTCGGATAGCGACGAGTAGTTGATCTTTTCTTTTATCTATGTACGCAAGAACTATCTATGTATCCTTTTTCATCGGAAAAAAATGGCCGGCGGCGTCCGCCATGAAGCCGGCGGTGGAGGTTGTGCACGCGTGGGGAGGAGAGAGGGCGCGCGCGCGTCCGTCTTGTGTCCGCGCCGACGCAAATCCGGCTCAAAAATGGGCCGAGAATGGGTCCGCAGGCGGACGAAAGCGGACGCGCATCCGTTTGGGTAGGCGCGTCCGTTTGGGTCGCCGCGTTGGGGCGTCTTTTCTATCCGCGCCGACCCAAACGGCCGCTGGCGAATGAAATGGATGGCCCCATTGGAGTTGGTCTAAGTAATGCGTTTATAGACAAGGACATATTCTACCATTCTCTTCTGTGTGAAAGTTGAAACTTACCTTTTTAAAAAGTTTTAGCATTTGATACAATCCTAGTTGCGTAAGCAGGCCGGTTTCAACTTTCACATCACAGTAGATAATATGTGAGTTTGTATATCAAGTCAGGTGAAACATATTTGGATTTTTTGTAGTTTTTTTGTATTTTACGAAATTTCAGATGTATGCTACCAAATTCAAATATTGCATAAGTATGACCCTGCCGCTGCCCACGAAGACAAAAAGGTACTTTTCGCTGTGTTTCGGACAAAAAGTCTGCGTTGGCGTAACACACATAAGTAAAAGGAGTCTTAGTTGCCCACAACTGCGAAGAAGGAAGTCTTCCTACCGAAGGTGTTGTTTTACATCCGAGCTCATGTGAGCTCGGTTGAACGGTTAAAAAAATGAAAAAAAAAATAAAAAATTCTGAACATTTTTTGTGTGAAACATTGACAAAATGTTTGTTGGCTTGCAAAATTTCATCACCATATGACATTCATGGCAACAAAAAAAAATTGATGCTCAAAAATGTTATATTCAAACACATTCAGGAGCATTGATTGTGTCTTTTTCATCACGATTTCCGCGTATGTCATATGGTGATGAAATTTTGCAAGCCAACAAACATTTCGTCAATGTTTCACACAAAAAATTAGAATTTTTTGATTTTACTATTCACTTGAGGTCACATGAGCACGGGTGTAGAACAGCTGCGTCTGTCTTCCTACCCACAACAACGCAAAAGGTTCTCCTCTCCGAATTTCGTTCGCCAAATCCTCGCACCATCAGGACCTTGTCAATGATGAAAATCCATTCAAGCGAAGAATAGTTTGAACCGTGCATTGTGAAGGAATTTCACCTTTCAATATACACCGACCATGGCAAGCTTTATATCGTGCTCAGTGAAAACTTTTGTAATTACTCTCATCCATCTACTCATCTAGATGTTGCAAACCTCGTAGACATTGTCCCTCATGCTATTACTGTCATTGTCCGCGCGCGCCATGACCTGTGCTATCCACGGACGTGAGCCAGATGCCGCCAACTCTGCCAATAACAACAATATGACGTGGGGCAAAGTTTAGGAGCTTGGCACATCTAGATGAGTAGTTGTGTGCAATTAATTGGAGATTTTATCATCGAGCATGGTGTAGGCTTGCGATGGTCGGGTAGATGGAAAGGTGAAATTCGTCCTCGACGATGCACGGATTAAATGGTTCTCTGTCTAAATGGATTCTTCTCGTCGATATGGTCCTGGTGGCGCGAGGGTTTGGCCAGGAGGAGCTCTGGTGTGTAGTGGATGCCCGGGGGCGCATGGTTGCATGGGGAGAGGAGGTTTGAGTTGGGTGGGCAATGAGGAGTTCTTTTCTTTTGGTTGGCCTCAACAACATCAAAGAAAAGCCAGTTTTCGTTTGGCCCTGCAATTAAGAGGCCTTTTCGTCCAGGATAACCATGAAAAATATACCCTTTTTTTGCTTTTGCAATTTCTTAATTTGATATTATAGATTTGAAATTTTGGAAATAAAAATATTTTAAAAAATCCACGTATTTGGGCAGACTGGTCGCATCATGAGGTAGATTTTTCTTATAAGAACGTAAGTAGAATTAGTCACGGAAAGATCGCATAATGCCCTTCTCACTTTTGTTTTCATATTTTCAAAGCAACTCCAAATGCGAGTACGGATGTTATAGGATACAAACTCCAAGCGGATACTGCTCGAATACGAATACGGATAGTATGTTTACTTGGTTTGGAGTGTATATGAATATCTTACAAGTTAGCGGCACATTAGGCAAAACAATTAAGTCAGCAACAATGTGATAAAAAATAACTGAACCACGACATATAGCCAGTCAATGATAGACGATAACTACTACTATAACGCGTAATAGTTTCTCAGTTTAATCCTGAAAAAGAGTAAAAATTGACCAGTTCTTAGGTTTTTATTTGTATGGAGCTTGTTATTTTAGGGCGAACATACTAGCAAGGTTGCTGAAACAGCAAATGCCATCCAGACTCAATAACCATGATAACGACGGTTAATCACTTGTGACAGACATAGAGGCAGCAAGTGCCAAGCCAATTTGCATGCAATGCAAAGTTGTTTCCTACATTACGAATTTAGGAGCAGCTAAACAACATTGATCCGAGCTCACTCCTCTCCTCCCTGCGAGCTCTTCACCTGCTGCTGCAATGCGACCCTACAACGCACCACAAGAAGCAACAACTGTCACGTAGGTGAATCTGCAGTGTGAAAAATCCTGCGACTTGGAGGCTTCTTCCTCTTACCTGATGTCTCAGCCAGACGCACAGGTGGGCTTGCGAGGGGGAAGCTGGGGATGAGGAGTTCTCTGAAGAAAGCAGACAAAAACAGCATCAGTAATTGTTTCTAGATAGACCTGACTGACAGTATCGTTCAGCCGGGCTGAAGCTTTCCGTTGTTGTACTGACCTTGAGCTTGGGCTTGAGCGATTCCACCGCAGCCGTTGAGCTGCTGTTTGCAGCTTGCTGGAGAAAATGGCGGGAGATGGATTAAGCACGCATGGTCAGATGCAGTTCTGAATGAAGATATGTCATGGCTGAATAAGTTGTTGTGTTGTGGTGTCTGACCTTGCCAAGGACCCAATCCGCGGAGTCGAAGTAGGCACGCTCATGGTCCTGCATCATTAGATTTAGAATGCAACCAAGCTCATCAAGGAAACGGCCAGATGTGTTCTTCTTCTAGAGATACTTCATGCTTGACAGTGCCTATTTCTGCTCAGTAGTAAAACACTAGCGCTGTTACCTTTGATATGAGCGGCTTCTTGGGCGCCATCCCGCCAAACTTCTTCTCCATGCCGCACGCCTGAAGAAGAACAAGACACGGTATCAGTATCAGAAGAAAATAAACGTATCCGAGACTGAGCAGAGACAGGGCCTCCGCCAAACGCGAGGGAAAAAGCTACGGGATCAGGTTCCAAAGCTCCGCGACACGCTCGGCTAGCTTCCCTGGACGGACGGAAGAAAGATGCATGCACCTCTGCGTAGGATAATAATTTGCTATTTGTTTCCTAACCGCACGTCCGAAAAAGTTGGATCGCTCGAGGCGATCAGGGAGGCGACTAGGGGTCCCTTGCGCGCCGCCAGTGACGCCGCCGGTTCCCTCTCTCTTCGTCGGCCGCTCCGGCGGCGGGAGGGAGGGGGAACCTCGGGTCTGTTCACTAGGTGGGCGTGTGGTAGGGTTAGGGTTGAGGGAGACGCTGCCGAGGCCATTGCGGTGGTGTCGCGTCGGAATAAGTTTGTCCGGGCTCCGTTCGCAGTTAGGCGGGGCTTTTGCCTTCGTCTAGGAGCCAGCGGTGTTGGGGATCCCCGGATCTCGTCGAGGTCGCGGGCTATGGTGGTTGGAGGTCCATCGGCACTGGCCGTTTGGATCCTCAGATGGGCGATGGAGGTAGGGAGACGAAGACCTTTCTTCTTCCTTGTTGGTACGATTTGCTGCTGCTGTTCTTCTCCTTCCTCTGCGCTGATGCTGGTGGGAGATCCTGCTTTGCCCGGGCGGATGGCCCGGCCGCGGTGCCGAACCGGTCGGATGACTCGTGATCTCTTCCTTCCGGAAGGGACACTTTTCGCGGTACTCAAAGCCAAAGATGGCGACGGCTGTTGCAGGTGTGTTGGATTGATGTCCATGCCCTCTCAGCGCTGGTGTCAAGAAAGGAGGAAGCAGCGTGGCGACAATTGTACCGTGGTCGAAGATGATGACCTGTTTGCGACTGGTTGCAGATCCTTTTGCTGCAGGGGTCTTCTCTCAAGATTCAGGGATGATGACACAGGGCTCCGGAGATCTTCTTGTGTTATGGTTGTCTTAGGGTACTCTAGGTATTCTTGGTCCTTTATTTTTGCGTTTCAGTGTGCTTGTAAGGGTCACCTACTCTGTACTAATTCGTGATTTGAATGAACAATTCCTAAAAAAGAAAAAAAGATGCATGCATGCATGCACGCACGCTTATCCGTCTGCTCAGGGTACATGACACGGACAGACAATTATCCCGACCGACGCGACGGCGTGCATGATACACGCACCCAGCCATGTCCCCGGCCGGCATCAGTCGGCTCGGACGCCCGAAAGATTTGGCCAAAAGCGGGAGCGTTCACGAACCCACTTTTCGCGCCAAACCAGCAACAAAATCATGGCCATCGACGTGGTTACCTCTGATTCACGAGAAGGCACTAAAAACATGTGAGCGATCTAGCGATGGCGATCCCCTAACAAAGCCCACGAAAACGACGCAAGGGTCCGACTCGGGTCGATCCTCACCAGAGGGCTCGTTGCCGCCGCCGTGTCGACTTGTTGGCGCCGTGGTGAACTGCTGCTGACACGGGAAGGTACCACAGCACAGGTGTTTGTTCATTCGTACTGTACTACGTAGCTAGCTCGGAGCTGGCTGCAGAGGTGACGCAGGCAGGCCAGGTGGGAGATTCTTGCTTGGGCAGTGCCGGTGTGGCGGCCAGTGAAAGCGTGACAGCAGCAGCGTGGGCAGACAAGCGGTGGCCCGTCGGCCATCATGGACGCACACGCACATCATCTTTTGTTTCCTTCAGAGCCTTTTGATCGGTCAGTAGATTCTTGAGCCGCACGCGGACATGAGACTGCGTAGAGTTTAGCCTTCCTGCCCTTCATTAGCTCCTTGTTGGTACGGTACGTCGTTAGCAAATGTTGGTGCGCGTGGTGTCAGTAGGAGCAATCTGCAATGGCTGCACGTAACCGATGCTGCAGAATCCATCTTTAATGGAGTAGATTAGGACATTGCTGGTTTGCTAAGTAGGTGCTGAGGATAAGAGCGTCTTCTTCATTAAGGTGCGCGAGCGCGTTAGGTAATGCGCTCTAGGAACTTGCTCTCAATGGTTAAGGCCGCCGTTTTGCGGATTAAAACCGCTTCTAGTGTAATGAGGTTCCAAATTAAGATGCACTCAAATACTCCCCCATCCCATAATATAAGAGCGTTTTTGACACTACACGTACGAGGAAACTGACAAGTTAACCATTTTGTTTAGTGGGTGGGGGAGCACTACAGCGTATCATCAAACAGAAAAACAAAGGAGAAATGACATAGCCAAACAGGTGATACGCTCATGGGAGAAGAGAGATAATTGACGGGCTTACTCTGCATATTTATGTCAGAGAGGTAGGGTGGACAGGGACAGGGCACAAGGTAATACAGACTGAGAAGAGCTTCATAAGCAAGCCCTGTTTCCCAAGTTGGGTTAGTTGAAACTCCCAATCTTTCTCTGTTATGCATCAATGGCGTTCATGTACAGCTAATATCTGAACGTATTACTCACTCCACCGATCTCTCTACCAAGTTACCAACTAGTACAAGTCTCCCATAATACAACAGAAGGCTCAGCCAAGGAAACCACTGCAATCAAGTCGCGGGGATGTCGGAGACTACCGAAACAAGAACTTGAAAATTGTAATCATCGATCATGCATCACTGTTCCGCCGGCAGACAATACACAGAGGCTATGGGGAGCTTACCTCTTCATCCATGGAAACCGATGATGTCTTGGCTTCACCGCAGCCCGCCATCCCCCGCTCCTCTTCCTTCTCCTCCCTCGCCGCTCTGCAAAATAAGGCACGGCAAGCGTGTTGAAGGTTCAGTGCTTGGCTACGACCCAAAATAAACGGCAAGATGGAGATGGCGAGAAGCTTTGGCATGAAGATCGGGAGGAAAATGTCGTGAAATGAAATCGGCGAGAAGCGTGTTGGGTAGTTGAGAGGGGAGGAAAAACCTTGTGTAGCCTGTGTCTGTGTGGGTGGGAAGAAGAGGAGGAGGAGGAGGAGGAGGCAAGGAGGGACAAGTCAAGTGTGAGCAGAGAGGGGTGAGGCGATATATATAGAGGTCGCACGCGTGAGAACCGTAAAGACCTGGTGCACAACGCAACGGACATCACATACACGCCTACCGCATGCTACAAAATGCATGACTCTCGTTTAACTAGCCTGAGAGAGCATCCTCTCTGCTCCGAGACACTCTCAAATCAACGGCTACCCGTGGCACATACAGCGGTGTATTTTTTCGGAAAAGGGTGAATTTTATTGGCTCAAAATGGAGCATCAAGAGAATACATAATACAATGAGCATACACCCGGCCTTTGCATAATTAGAATGCACGCAGCCAATCCAACACACACACGCACACCAACAACTAGCAAAGTCATAAGACCATGTGTCGGCGAGGAAAAAAAGAAAAAGAAGAAGCCTAAAGCGATCAAATCAGTGATCGACAAACTACAAATGAGACTTATATCCGCACAAAAACCATTGACACCATAATGATATGGAGGATCTTCAACAACAACACCTCCAGGAAGGGAGCGGCACTCAAGCGTCGTCGTCACCGGATCTAACCACAAAGGCCCGAATCTAAGTTTTCACCCTGAAGAATCAGTCGAAGCAAATCCGAGCAATCCTCCAACAAGGTAACGACGTAAAAAATCATCGCCTTTGCCAGGTGTAACCACTCGAGTCTGACCTAGGTTTTCATCCCGGAGCTCGAGACCTGGTGCACGCAACACCATCATCCAAGTCATACAAGTGTTGTCGCCCCCGCTTTTTCAAAATCCCACCAGCTGCAATTGGATAGCCACCACTCCACAACTTACCCTCTGCGTCAAGTCATCGTCCATAATTTGTATCATATCACTGAAGTCATCCAACAGGTCAAGAGATAAAACCTCCCGAAGTCTTTTCGATGATCTCCGCTGTCGTGGATCCATAGGAAGTCGTTGCAGAGCAATCTACATTCAGCACCATCCGGCAGATATGATCTAGATCACCACCACCAACCAAAAATCGCAGCGTTGTATCGGCACCGTACACGTGGAAGGCGAGCAGATCGCCGCAACCCCACATGCTCAGCGCAACAATCCTACGGGCCGCCGTGGACACCTTGCGTCATCCCGGCGTCATATCCTTGAAGAACGTCGTCGCACGCCACAAGGATGGCCCCGAGCCAGCCGAAGAGGACACTACCCCAACCCCGGGCCCGGCACCGGCAGAAGAGGGACGCCGACGACAGGACGAACCTCGCTGGGCCGAGATCTGACACGGAGAGCGAATGCGGAGGGGAGCAGGACTATTGGTAGGGATGACGGGCGGGGCGGGGAGTAGGCCGCTGCCAGAGACGCACCAGCGGATGGCGGAGCGGCTGGCGTAGGGCACAGAGGCTGGCGGACGGGCGTGCCGGCGGGGAGGCTGTAGCCGGACGAGGCACCCAACCGCCACCATCCCGGGAGCCGGCGCGGGCTTCGCCGGCCACTCCTCCGGTGGCGGCGAGGTGGTGGAGGAGCTGGGAGGGGGGTTGTGGTGGCTGGTCGCTGGAGTTCCCCCGCCGTCGGCAGGGATGGCGACGCGAGGGACGCGGAGTTCTAGTTATTGTATTGCAATGTATAGCAATGCTCATGTTTTAGTTAGACATATACATATATTGTTCTTATTTTTTTTAAATATACAGTACTTATTTCATGATACATTTATTTTCTTTGCTTGCTGCATGGCATGACCTCAGTTTTTGTTGGCGCCGTGTACTGTTTATGTGATGCCTGTATTGCTCCTATTTCCAACCATAAAAGGCCGCACTTTATACGTGCATCTAAACAGTAGCGTGTAGCTAGGGTTTGTTAATAATAATAGTGGTTTGGCGAGAAACACGTGAGGTCAAGCCAAATCCAATCAATGAGACATCGAGATGTGAGCGGGACACGTCGTGCAAAATTTTGGTGTGTGTCAGGTGGGTCTAATTAGCGGACAGGAATAAGTCAACCCAGCGTCCCAAAAAGCTTCTAGATATCAGTAGTGCCCTATGGAACCACATAATCCATTTGTTTGAAACGCCACTATACATTGGCAACACACACTTCTAATCTGAAAAGGAATGGAATTGGATGGGTAGATAGTCCGATTGTTGCTCCCGAAACAACCCGGATCAAAAGCCCATGTGTTGTGTGCAGGAGGCGGCTCAGGCGAGCACCCCGGGCAGCACCGCCGCCGCCCCCTCCTGCCGGCACCGGCAAACTCTGCCTGAGCAGAGTTCATCGGTGATTCGCGGTGGCAGGAATTCCTCTCTCACGTGGGGTGTTGGGATAGGTCAGTCCAGCAAGGCATGGTGTCGCTCAAACGACAGAGTGGCCTAGGCCATCGGCGGTCTCTTCTTCTAGGTGATGGCTTCCAGGTGGCACGACTTCGGGTGTGCTTTATGGCGTCTTCCAAGTGACGGTCGTTGGGACGCACGATGGTGGGGCTCCGGTTAGGACACGCGGCACTTGTCGGGGTTACGATTAGGGGTACGAATAAGGGGCAGAACCTAGCTACGGCGCATGTGTAACACTCGGTGTTTAACGAGTTCAGACCCCTCTCGGCAGAGGTAAAAGGCCTACGTCTCGTGCCCTGAGGCTTGCTTTGATTTGATGGATATGGTTACAAAGATTGCTCGTGTCCGATCATAGAGGGAGGGTGCAGCTTATATAGAGTGCGCTGCAGCCCCACGCCCTCCATGCCGTTTGGGCATTTAATGACACTGAATAGGTCACTTACTAGTATAATGAGCCTCTATTACGACAGTTACAGGTAACGGTAGCTATGACTCAATTTAGTGGACGACTTAGGATCCCTCGACCATTGCAGCTCCCACGACGCCCTCCTGCCTTCTATGGCCGAGTGGTGGTCCATCAGCCGAGTGGCGTGTGATCATCTGAGTGTCGTCGAGTCGTCCGAGTGGACATCCCGACGTAAGTATCTGAACGTTGGCATGGTCCAGGGACCTACCTATGGTGATGATGGGCCCCATGTGGGTCCCGAATGATGGATCCTTGACCCTACCTGTGATAGGTGATGACACATCAGCACTGACCTGGTGGATGTGCACCTCGTGATCTAGCGATGGTGATCTGCCTTTCATGCACCTGTTCTGGCCATACCGGCCCCTCGGTTTACGGGCCTGGGCAGAGCTCTCTCCTGCAAGGTGGTAATCTATAGTGGTATGCTCCGTCTTTGGTGTTCCCACGGCGACGACCTCACTACAGTTTGTGGTGGCTACCGAAAGGTCTTCGTGAGGGTTCCTCGCTCGAGATCCAGTGGTTGGCTTTGGCAATGAGATGCAAACTATGGATGGCGGCTTGACATAGAGGGATGTTCCTACATCAAAGACGGCTGCATATCACATGTAGTTGTTGCGATCGCAGAATAGTGGTGGCGACAACAAATGAGAGATGTCAACGGCGGTGCTACTCAAGCACCCACTCTAGGGCTTTGAGCTGAAAGCCTAGGTCAGGCCCGAGTTGGTTACACCTGGCAATGGTAATGTGTTTACGTCGTTATCTTGTTAAAGGCATTGCCTGCATATGCTCAGACTGGTTCTTCGGGGTGAAAACCTAGATTCTGGCTTAATCCAGTGATGATGGGCAATGACAATGTCTTTACGTAGTTAATGGCCCATAAGTACAGGGGATCAATCATGGTCGTTTCGACAAGTAAGAGTGTTGAACCCAACAAAGAGCACAAGGAATTGATAAGCGGTTTCAACAAGGTATTCTCTCCATGTGTTGTAAATTAGTAGTAACAGATAGCTTGATAACAAGATAACTGATAGCAAGTAACAAGTAATCAAAGTAACAAGGCTCAGCAACGTGGCCCAATCCTTTCATTGCAAAGGACAAGCCGGAAGTACTTATATTAGCAAAGCATTCTCGAGTACACATAGGAATTTCATCTAGTCATAGGGGCGGATCTACACCCTAGGCCCCAAGGGCCCAGGCCCGGGGCGTGGTTTTTTATTAGCTATTACCATGCTATGTTTTTCATATGGGCCCGGGGCCTAGCCCACGACATAGCCAAGGCCCGGACGCCAAGCTTCCTCAACCACGACCTAGGCAACGCAGTTTGCACGCACGCGAGTCAGGAGCAGAGCGACCATGACAGCCACCTCCCATCATGTGAGTCGCGCCGTCGTCGGGCCGCCGACGATTTCCCCATGCCCCGTCCAGTCCCAGGGACTGCCTCACTCTTTGCCGCTCTTCTCCACGACATAGCTAGGGGCCGCCGCTCTTCCTCAATACCCTGCTCGTCAGCTCCCCGCTGCTCAGGACTGTGGACTGTTGATTTGCTGCTGCTACTCTAGATACGTGGCATGAATACTTCATAAATTATAAATATGTTGGAAACGTATCAACATCCCTAAGCTTAATTCCTGCTCGTCCTCGAGTAGGTAAATCATTAAAAATAATATGAAGTGTGAATGCTAGCATAGTGCATAAGTTTTATCAATGATAATTTCAATCACTTTTCCTAGCATCATAAACCACAACTCCTTCTCATAAAACTTATCTTGATAAAGCAGCAATCAATTCACATGTTATGGTTTAAACAATGCATTCTCTTGAAACTTAGCAACCTCCGTTCTTAGTCACCAAACAATTTAAATTCAGTAATGTCTAAGTAAGAGCTCCACATACTCACTTATCATATAGCCTTGTATGATTGCTAATACTCAAAGCATATTTTTTAGAACAAATAGCATCCATCGAGCACAGAGAAAGATAGGGGCTTAATGTTTCACCTCCCAACTCATTTATCATAGAGATAATTGTCAACAAATAATAATTCATGATCAAATATACTTTAATGAATATATGTGCCTGGATATTTCTGCACCACATGA